AAATATGCCAACTCAAGATTTAGTAACAATCAGAGAGAAAGGTTTGTATTTAGTGATGATGAATTGTTATCTAATATGTTAAATCTAGGAATAGATGAGATAGGGTGTAGGGTGTGTGATTATTGATACAGTAGAAAATAGAAGTAAAGGTACAATGATTGGAAACAGTGCGGACGATTCACCTTTAATATTTTCTAATGTAGCATTAATCCAATACCCTACTGGACATTGGACAAGTTACCTTACGCCCCACTGGACATTGGACAAGTTACCTTACACCCCACTGGACATTGGACAAGTTTACCTTACATCCTACTGGACATTGGACAAGTTTACCTTACACCCCACTGGCCACTGGACAAGTTTACCTTACACCCTACTGGACATTGGACAAGTTTACCTTACACCCCACTGGCCACTGGACAAGTTACCTTACACCACACTGGACATTGGACACTATACACTGTACCAGACACAGGACACCCTACTGGACACTGGACAAGTTACCTTACCCACTGGACATTGGACAAGTTTACCTTACACCCCACTGGCCACTGGACAAGTTACCTTACCCACTGGACATTGGACACTATACACCGTACCAGACACAGGACACCCTACTGGACATTGGACAAGTTTACCTTACACCCCACTGGCCACTGGACAAGTTACCTTACACCCCACTGGACATTGGACACTATACACTGTACCAGACACAGGACACCCTACTGGACATTGGACAAGTTTACCTTACATCCCACTGGCCACTGGACAAGTTACCTTACACCCCACTGGCCACTGGACAAGTTACCTTACACCCCACTGGCCACTGGACAAGTTACCTTACACCCCACTGGACATTGGACACTATACACTGTACCAGACACAGGACACCCAACTGGACACTGGACAAGTTACCTTACACCCCACTGGCCACTGGACACTATACACTGTACCAGACACCAGACACCCTACTGGACACTGGACAAGTTACCTTACACCCCACTGGCCACTGGACACTATACACTGTACCAGACACCAGACACAGGACACCCTACTGGACACTGTACACTGTACCAGACACCGGACATGCTACTGGACACTGGACACTATACACTGTACCAGACACCGGACACCCTACTGGACACTGAACAGTGTCTATTGGCAGTCTAATACAGAAATGTTAGTAGTTAGTGATGATTAGTTATTATCTGCTATGATTGGTATAGATCAATATGTGTGTCTCTCTCTGTGTGTGTATACGTATTGCCTATTGCTGTGAAGTTACAACACTGTATAAAGTTACAGATGGTATATTGGGATAATACCTTGATAGTTGGATAGTTAGCTGGGTAGAACAATTCTACTATTAACACCAGGTACTAGTCTTACAACTTTAAAACTGTAGATTTTATTTGGAAAGGGGTTTACAGAAAGTTTTCTACAAAATTATAGAACAAAACTTTCAAACTGTAGATTTTATTTGGAAAGGGGTTTACAGAAAGTTTTCTACAAAATTATAGAACAAAACTTTAAAACTGTAGATTTTAGTTGTTGATGACCAAAGTTAGAGCCAGAGTATTGGTTATATTTCACTATGTTTCCTATTAAGAGTTGGCACTAGTCATAAAACTTTAAAAGATATTAGTTGGAGAAAGTTTAAGTTATATTAAATTGATTTAAAAAAAGATTTAAATGGAAAGTTAGCCGTTTTTAAAGGGTTTTGTCTTAACAGCAGGCACTTCCAACAGAAGAGACGAAAAACGACCAAAATCGTTTTTTAATCTGTGTTATCAGAAACTTCAAATACAAACTTTATCAAAAGTTTTGTTATCTAAAATTCTAATATTGTTTCTCCTTCAAAACAAAGTGATATTGGTTGAAAATAATTCAGGTACATTCTGTTATCTTTAACGTAGGAGTCAATAGAAATAAATAAAATTTCATATCAAAATATTTTTGATGTATTATGACACATAATGTTAAAATAGTACTCAATACATCAACTGTAGAGCTATATAGAAATACCACTGTTAAAATAGTGTTCAATACATCAACTGTAGAGCTATATAGAAATACCACTGTAAAAATAGTACTCAATACATCAATTGTAGAGCTATATAGAAATACCACTGTTAAAATAGTGCTCAATATATCTATTGTAGAGTGATAAAGAAATACCACTGTTAAAATAGTGCTCAATACATCAATTGTAGAGCTATATAGAAATACCACTGTTAAAATAGTGCTCAATACATCAATTATAGAGTTATATAGAAATACCACTGTAAAAATAGTACTCAATACATCAATTGTAGAGCTATATAGAAATAACATTGTTAAAATAGTGCTCAATATATCAATTGTAGAGCTATATAGAAATACCACTGTTAAAATAGTGTTCAATATATCAATTGTAGAGCTA